ATATACATACATTTCCATATGCTGCATCAATATCATCTGATTAAAAATAGTGAAATTGCAAAAGACCGCGATACAAACACACAGAAGTATATTTTTACTAAACTTCTAGTGAGGAACCCGACCCACGAAAATAGAGAAAAGATTAAGAATAATAATAAGAAAAGAGAGAGACAGAGAGAGAGAGATAGATAGATAGATAGATAGATAGAGGGAGAGAGAGAGAGAGAGAGAGAGAGAGAGAGAGAGAGAGAGAGAGAGAGAGAGAGAGAGAGAGAGAGAGAGAGAGAGAGAGAGAGAGAGAGCGAGAGAGCAGAAGAGAGAGAGAAAGAAGAGGCGAGAGAGGGCGAGAGCGAGAACGAGAGCGAGAGAGGGAGAAAAGGAGAGAAAAGAAAGACAAAAGAGTGAGAGAAAGAGAGAGGAAGAGAAGAGAAACGAGAGAGAGAGAGAGAGAGAGAGAGAGGAGATTCTGTGTGTGAAAATGAAGTCTGTGTCTAACTTTCACTCTTTGTGATAAAGCCGCCAAGAGTCCACGCCTTTCCCCTCATGACGTGCGATCGCCGGAAAAAGATCTGTAGAAATCACAGAGAGCAGCCCGACCTTGTAAAATATATATATCTATATTCTCTCTTTCTCTATCTGTCTCTTTCTCTCTTTATCTATCTATCTCTTTCTTTCTCTATCTCTCTCTATCTATCTCTGTCTCTTTCTCTCTTTCTCTCTTTCTCTCTCTCTCTCTCTCTCCTCTCTCTCTCTTCTCTCTCCTTTCTCTCTCTCTCTCTCTCTCTTCTCTCTCTCTCTCTCTCTCCTGAGATACTAGAGTGAAAGCATCTTCATAGATTTTAAAAGGAAATAAGAGGCATAGAATAATCGTGGTATGCTTTTCCTTCTCTCTCCTGGGGAAATATCAAAAAGATGATATATAACTCGCAACGGTGCGTGTGAATATTGTATGCACGCTTACGTCAAGCGATTCTTGACAAAGATCGCATAACAGAATGCTATACACCGCTCTCTTTCAGTCTTCGAATGTATGTCTTCTGCTTATCCTCTGGCCCTACGTACCTTACGCTTTGTTAATTATGGGTTAACTTATAAATTTCTTTGTCTCTACTTTCTTTCCTTAACATACGACACACGTGTACCAGACGCCACACCACCCCCCGAGACACACCCACCACACATATTATCCTGTATCTAATATCTATTTAATAATCTATCTATATTTATCTCTCTATATCTATCGTATAATCTATCCATCTAAATCTAATATATATACATACATCATAACATATATACATATACATATATACATATATATATATATATATATATATATATATATATATATATATATATAGTATATATATATATATATATGTATGTAGTATATAATATTATATAATCTATATATATATATATATTATAGATATATATATACAACAGTAATTCATTTAAAAAAGAAAACATTACAAAATTCACGAAGCTAACATCTGTGTCATATTTACATATTCATCATCAACATACTTATCCATCAATTTACTTGTACATCTTACCTCTCCTCCTATTATACTTTTCCTCAAGATTGAAAACAAGCCACGCATTTTGAACATTTCTCAATTATGCTTAACGTATTAGCTGCAACTTGCCTTCCTTTTGTGTTCAGGAATGCAATATAGACATTCTTCGGGATAAGTTACAAATTCAATCTCAACAACTTCTTCTTCTCTTCTGTCTAATCTCTTTCTCTTTCTCTTCGTTCTCTTCTCTATTATCTATCGTCTTTCATCTTTCTTTCTTCTCTCGCTCTTTTCATCTCTTTTCTTCTCTTCTCTCGTCTACTCGTCGTTCTCGTCGTCTCTCGTCTCATCTCTCTTCTCAGTTTCTCTCTCTATCTCTCTCTTCTCTCTCTCTTGTCTCTTTCGTCTCTTCTCTCTCTCTTCTCTTCTCTCTCTCTTCTCTCTCTCTCTCCATTCTCTCCTCCTCCTTCTCTCCTCTCTTCCATCTCTCATCTCTCTCCCTCCCCTCCTCGTCTCCCTCTCCTCCTCCGCCCGCCACACCCTCTCTCCTCGTCTCTAACAAACACTTACATATATATAAGTTTGACCAAAACGACTCGGGGGGCAGTTTGTTACCCTGAATACGTAATAGTATCCCGTTTTGGTGATTTGTTCGAATGTCGGAGTATACTTCTATAATCAAAGGTGTGGATTTTATTGGCAGGAATCGTCGATATA